TGAGATTTGCGTTGGATCATGGAAATTTGTTGATGGCGTATCAAAGATAATTTTTATATCTGAAAATTACAATTAGAAATAGTAGAATTGAAATTCTAGATTTAATCTGAAGAGTATCGTGAATGGAATAATGTTTATATGTTTTAGTTTCTTCTTCAGATTAGGTCAAGTGAAGCTCAAATCTGGCCAACATATTAAAGGGTCTAGAGAAGCTGATTAAGGTGGGGGGAATTTACAGAAAATTATTGTAAATGAAAGTTTATTTAGTTTAGTTTAGATATGTACTTTTTAAAGAAACTTTAAGAGGTTAATTCACAGCCACAAATTGGCCTATATAATAAGGCAAGTTCTTATCATAGGACAATCTTGGTGGAAAACTCCAACTTTGCAGGTTAAACGTTAGAATTTTTGCGCGTTTACATACATACCACTCAATTTAAATGTATTTATATATCTAACATCTAAATTTTGCTTGTTAAATTTATACCAACCAAAATTTTCATATCACATAAGAAATAAAACTTCTTAAACTTTAAAAAATGGAATACAAGTTTTCATGCATTTGTAGTGTCAGGGGGTCGTATTTAAAGCATTGAGTCTTCATCTTCTGACGCCTAAGCGCTAGGTTTGAGTAAGGATTTCTGAGGGTTGGAAACATGGGGCCACAAAAAGAGTGCAGCGCTAGACAGAGCAGCGCTTAGGCGCCCTAACACTAGCTCCTAGTCGTTGTAGTTGAATAAAAAGTAGTGCCTCCGCAATACGCGTTGGTACCCAAAAATGGGCAATTTTGGGCAGTTCAACAATTGAATTCAGGGGGAGAAATATAAAAGGTTAGATTAATAATTAATTAGAGATTTTCACCATTTTTTTTAGTCATTCTTGAGAGAAGAATTGAAGGAGAAAGTCAAAGCATTAGCAAAGAGATTAGAAGAGAAATTGAGAGGATTGAGAGTGCAGATTGTTTGCAGTAAGAAAAATCATCAAATTTCTTACTTGTGGAGGTGATAAGTGTTTTTACCTTGTTTTTCTTCATATTTTCTGGATAAAGACTTTAGTTTTGATGTTTATGTATAAAACTAAGCATAAGTAAACCCATCATAGGTGGATGCACCTTTTAAGTATCACCTCATTAGTGGAATCCAACCAACCATCAAATCTAGCCTAGGTAATACAAATTACTTCTGCTTACTAAAATATTCATGCAAAAGTTAATATTCTCATTAAACTTTTTAATTTATATGGGCCATTGTTCTTGAAGTTGCAAGTCTTTTATAGATGGCAGACGGTTGACCAGTTGCAATTCAACAAATTGGACCACCAATTAGTAGCTTTAGTGGTAAAGCGATGATTCTCTTTAATAAATATATTTCATTTACTTGTAGGTAAGATGATTACGAGTGAGATTTACATATTATCTATTTGTAATTTTAACTTCCGATAAATATATTTTATATATTTATGCAAAATGATTATAGCTCTTGTTAGGTATGACTCATCTACCAGATAAAGGGCAGATGCTGGAGCGGAATGGAGCGAGCCAACGGAGCGGAAACATTTGTCCACTCGGTGGAGTTTAGTCAAGTGGGTTGGGGATGCGGGGACAACACCCCCGCGGTACGATACAAGAGTAATTTTGTAATTGCATATTGTACACCAGAATTATATATGTGTTGTATTTGTAACCCTAAAGGGGATTTTGTACTGTTATTTGTGAAATCTAAAGAAGTCGTCGCTCTCCTCCCGAGGATGTAAGCAAATTGTCGAACCTCATTAAATCTCAGTGTTTTCTTCTTGATTTCGACGATGCTTGCGTTTTCTGTACCCTATATCCTCAACAGCTCTATAGGATGCACATATTATTATTAGTCCGGGTAAACGATGTATTAATGTATATTTTGTAAACTATTTTCAGCAATGTATTTAGGCATTTTTTATTTATTAATGTTTTTTTAATAATTTTTTAAGACATATATTTTAACATAAGAGAATTTTTATAAAAAAATTATATTTAATAAATATAAAAAATTAAATAATGATCATTGTGCCCTTTAAATAAAAATAAAAATTACTCATAAGAATAATTAAGCATAAATATCCCAAATAACTTACAGGAAAGCCATTACATATGTTTTCTTCATTTTTTTCATCCAAACAATGACGCATTGAGAGAGAAAATGAGGGAGTTATATTAAACTTGTACGATGAGTGCATGAATTTATCATTTATAATTTATAATTGAGAGTCTGATAATAGATGTGTTATGGTATGACTCATGTACCATATAAGGGACAAATGCTGGAACGAAGCGGAGCGGAGCAAATGTGTTATGGTATGGCTCATGTATCATATAAGGGACAAATACTGGAACGAAGCAGAGCGGAGCGAAGAGGAAGAATTTGTCCAATCGAGGGAGTTTCCTTATGTGGGTTGAGGGTGCGGGGGCAACGCCTTGCGATACGGTACAAGTGTAATTTCGTAATTGCATATTGTACTCCAGGGTTTTTTGTTTTCTAGGGTTATAAATTGGTCTGTTTGTAACCCTAAGCATTATTCTGTATCATGTACTCTTTTCTGGGATAGAAAGAAAGTCGCCGCTCTGCTTCCGATGACGTTGGCATCTTTGCCGAACCTTGTTAAATCTTTGTGTGTTCTTCTGGATTTGCGTCGATTCTTAATTTTCTTCGCTCTAATTTCTCAAAAGTATGTTAGTACCTTAGATCTATATTTGTGACAGTCAATGTAATATGTGTACTTTGATAATAAAGATATTAAATCAAGATTTTTGTATAAGTCTCCTTTTATTTTATAGTAGTATGATCTAAATGAATTTTGAGTATTTTTATTTTACAATGTTTAATGATGTTAGTGGCTTCGTGCTTATGAAAGTTAATAAAAAATAAGTAAATAAGATTCCTTTAAAATAAATTTTGTTAATAATTTATCAGTTATATGACCTCGACTCGAGGCAACCCGCCTCTATATGACCGGTTGCGGTTGAGTAGAGTTGGGTTGTGAGGACTCAAACATGATGCTACCTTGGTAGGCCAACTCCTTATGCTCCTTTTCATGATTTATCCTATAAGCCACTTGGATCCAAGTACATCTTAAATTAGGTAATAAAATTTAAATACACTTTTTTATATGTTAGCTCTAATCTTAAATAATTTCTAGACGTAACTAAGAGTGGGTATACAAAGTCATGAATATTTAATTTGTAATAATGATTCATGTCGTACTACTTACATTACTCTTAATAAATCAGAACTTTTGATACACAAATTATTTGGGCACCGTGTTTAGATGTCATAATGGTGTGGTTGCATGCATGCTTTGAGAGCATAGACATCTAAATAACTCGTGTTCCTCTTGTTAGCTGGAAGCATGCTGAATGCAACAGTCATATACTTCCTTTGACATCATTTGCATTTCTAAAATTGACGACTCTTCATCAACTTAAGTGTTTTTAAAAATGACTTGAATTATAATAAATCAGGTTTATACGTATAAATATATCGCTAATGAAGTGCCGCATAAGATGGATTAATATTAAACTTGTATGATGAGTAGATGAATTTATCATTTATAAAAGCAAGAGCAAAAGATTTTTATTTAGAGTAGATTGACAAGAGATGCAATGATGATTTGAGTTTTACATGTCTTGTTGCTCCACACAACTCAATGGCAATCTCATATGCATGATTCATTAAAAAAAATAACAAACTTGCACTATAATAATGTAATTATATATTCATATGCATGTCTCGATCATCCCTCACACGCCTAAGAATTCGAGTACCACATCTTACACTCGGGGGGAATTGAACCCCAGAGCAAAGGAGACTTGTAACTGAAAAGTTGATGCCCGACCAACTGATCTGAGTCCGCGGCGCTTGTGAAGTTAGACAAAAAAAAATCATGTAATAACATCAAATTTTAATCCTACATTATTAGAGTTATAAGTGAATTGATGCATTCAATGAACAACTCAAATTCAGCTCAACTATTTTTCCGTAGAATTTGTTAACACTAAAAAGCAAATAACTTTGAATATTTTTTAAAATTCCAAAAGTTATTAAGTGAACCAAACTTAAAAATTGCTCAACTTATTTATTTTTATTCACAAACAAACTTATTTGCTCAACTATTTGATGTTCAATAAATAACTAGCTAGTTAAATGCTTGATATTAATCTTTATCATAACTGATATCATACATGATATATTAATTATAACTTATTTAATTATATATTTAATAGTTATGTAGTATAATATTAGTAGTATATTAAGAGTATTAATTTATATTATTTGCAAAAAAAAAAAAATTGTAACTTATATATTATCTTATGTAATTAGTGTAAGAGAACTAGTTATAAGCTAAAAATTTATCTAATTACTTATTTATTTAGACATATTAAATCTTTTATTAATACTTTTATATGAAAAATTAGGCACCCATTCATTTATTAAATATGAACAATTTATAACATAATCAAGCCAAACTAAATTAATCATATACTTGGCACAACACAAACCTATACATAATTTAAATTTCGTGATTCACTCTGAGAAGTCCAAAATTTTAAAAATGACCTTATTTGCATTTATAATTTATTTAAATTTTAAATTAAAAATTTAAATGAAAAATAATTATTTAATTGCACATATTAATAAAAAAAGGGAAAATTCTAAGAACCTCACAATTCTTACCTATTTACATGTCGAACACCCAAGGTTTGATGTTTGCACTTATAAATTTTTGGTGTCATAAATTTATGCATGAAAAAGTTTTTTCACTTTTAAAAAAAATATTAATGGTAATATCCAATATTTGAGTTTTAAATATATAAATTTGCATATTTATGGGTTAGATATGTAAATACATAAGTATATGTAAATTCCCAAAAAGTAATTTAGAAGTCCAGTGTACAAAAATATGACACATCTACCATCCGAAAATTCCAGCGCCATGTGAGTCTGAACTCTTCCCCCGACTCCACAAATCTCAAACTTCTTAAAGTCCCCTATCATCATTCCGGCTCTCCGAGAGGACCAAAAGGTCAAAACTAAGTTAATTAGTCAATTTCTTTAGCTCTTCATCATCCTCCCCGCCTTGCATTGCGGCATCAATCAATTTTCACTCTTCACTCTTCAGTATCCGTCTCTCTTCTTCCACTCTCCTCTCCCGAGCGAAAATGGCTTCCATCCTTTCCTATACGGCCACCGTCACCGCCCTCCTCCTCTTCCTCTACCTCTTCCTCTCCCAATCCCTCTTCCTCCCGACTTACATCTCCTCCCACAACAATCTACAGCCCAAAACCAGAAGAAATCTGCTTTCTCTTACCAACGAAGAGGATCTACACTCTCCAATCCTGAAATCCAAACCCCCTCCGAAGAAGCAACCGGTCTCCGAATTCTTCGCAGCCATTAACAAAACCAAATCACTCAAGCCCAAGAAAACCAATTCCAGCATCTCCTCCTCACCCATCATTTCGAATCCCGCCACCAAATCCAAGCTCAACAAAACCATCTCGTTCACCGCCAAATTCAAGCTTAACAAAACGCTGACAGCCATTCCCACTGCTCCCAAAGCCAAGCTCAATAAAACCAGCATTACCTCCAAGTCGAACAACAACACTAAGCTCCTCAAACCCATCAAATTCAATTCCACCAAGATCTCCCTTCCCAAATCCAACTCCACCAAACCCCACCAACTCAAATCCCTAAATCCGGCGCCCAAAACACAGAGGAACCCAGATGTGAAAGATCTTCCCATCGCTAAACCCCAGCCCAAACCAAAATCCCCAAAACCTAAACCCTCTCCCGAAAACTGGCTCGACGAAACCGAGATCACCGGAGACGATGACGACATCATCGCCGAGTTCCGCGATCTCCCTTCCCGTCTTCACTCTGCAATCGTTCCCGACCTTCACAAGCTCTCCGCCACCTCGAAGCTCTACCTATCCAAAACCCACCGGGAGATCGCCGCCGGCGTTAAACCTTTCGTCGGAAAAAAATACGCGCCCTCCATCGCCTCCGCAGCCTCCGCGGCTCTCCTCCTCGTCCCCCTTCTTCTAGTCACCGCCCTCTTCCGCCACCTTCTCCGCACCGGAAGCTCCGCCTCCCTCCACCGCGCCCTCCTCTTCGTACAGGCTTACCTCGCCATCTATTTCGCCACGCTCTCCCTCACTGCCGTAGTAACGGGACTCGAGCCGCTCAGATTCTTCCACGCCGCGTCCCCGGGAGCGTACGCGTGGACGCAGGCCGTGCAGACGTTCGGCTACGTGGTATACTTGATCGCGCAGCTGATCGCTCTGGTGGTCGCATTCTCCGCCGACGACGGCGAAGGATCGGCGGGGAAGGCGGTGAACCTAGCGCAGATGCTGCTGGGCTTGGCGGTGGGGATGCATTATTACATAACCGTTTTTCACCGCGCGGTGACCGGAGACGCACCGCGGGCCAACTGGAAGGTGCACGGGATCTACGCAGCGTGCTTCGTCGTGATATGCGGGCTTGGTAGGGCCGACCGACGGAAAAAGGCGTACACCCAGGATGATGGTGGCGACGATGGTAAGAAAAGTTAGGAAAAAAAGGGTCTTTTTCATAATTTTATATTTGATGGGGGGGTATTTTGCGGTTGTTATTTATTGATGAATGATGGATCAGTCGGGACTGATTTTGTTCTGTTCGTTGCAAGTTGCGTGGGTTGGGAGAATCCCATTGTTATCCAGTGCTATTTTTTATTTTCGTTTGGGGGTGGATCATTAATTTAGCAATGTATTTGTACTATTTATATATATGTTTGGATCAAAGTGCAATAAATCACCGACATCAGTGAAGGAAAAGGGAATTCTCCCTGGAAGGTGGCTGATCTAAGCATCTGTCCGTTAATGAAGAATTCAAAATATCTTTTTTTTTTTTGGGTCATGTGATGATTCGGATATTTATTCTGTCTTCCTACGTCAACTACAATTATGTATTAACATATCAACTGTCTAAATTTCAATTTTTATCTACAAATCACCCAATTTTTGCCAAAAATATAGGAATTATGTGATCTGCAGGTAAAAGTTGAAATTTAGGTGGTTGATATGTTCATACATAAGAAATTATCTACCACTTAATTGCTATGTCGTAACATATCAACTGTCTAAATTTCAATTTTTTATCTACAAATCACCCAATTTATGCCAAAAATATTGGAATTATGTGATCTGCAGGTAAAAGTTAAAATTTAGGTGGTTGATATGTTCATACATAAGAAATGTTTTGTCTGTAAATTTTTTTTTTTTTTAATGGATTTCGTTGCAAGGTGTTTCGTACGAATCATTAATAGAATGCCTTGACAAAAATAAAAAACTTCGGGTGCAACTTAGGATCCATTTGGGGCAGCTTGTGCTTTTCAGGATAAGATGTTTATCCTGAAACGCGGCCTGCGGGCCGACCGCAGGGGTCGACCCGTAGCCTGCGTTTAGTGTAAAAACTCAAACGTAGTTTCGGATAAGTTGGTAAAACGCGTTGGTGAAACGCGCGAACCAAAGAACAAAACAGTACGGCGGCGTTTTGAAAACGCCGCCCGCACTTATAAGATGCCCCAAACGGACCCTTAATTATCTCTTATATTTTGGACTTAATAATCATCTTCAAATTTGCATGGATGCTTTTGTAATCGGACAGCTTGTTTAATGGCAAGAATTTAGGTATATTATAGTGTTAATAAGATGAACATATGTTTCAGTAGGTGTACAGTTTGCTTGAATGTTTTAAAAAAAAGGCTGCTTAAATGTTTCATTTTGTAATTTGAAAAATTTTAATCAATTTTGCATCTAAAGGCGGGCAAAAGAGGCAATGTTGGAGCAAGATCTGGAGCTGGACTGTGTTGTCAAGGCCTAAGAATACATTATTATAAATTTATATATTTATTGGTATAATACTCAATTCTTTATGATAAATGTATAATCTTATTCTGTCAAATTCTTAGTTGTACAACATGTGGGCGGACCTAAGTGTAAACTTGGGTGGGCAATTTAGATTGCAAAGTAAATAAATAATTGTTGCTAAACAAGCAATTTTATCCCAATAACTAATGCTAAATCATGATTTGTCCACTAATCACTCGTAAGAAATAGAGTGTAAGGAGTGAGAAAGAAAGGGAGACATAAATAGAAGAGTGAACAGTAATCAATATTAATCCATTGTGTTTTATTCATAAAATGATTCCCCTATTTAGAAGATGGTACACGGATGATATTATATTTTTGTCATAGCTTTAAATGGGTTTGTATTAAAATATTTCTCATATTTTATGTATATAAATTTATCATCTTATTGCTTACTAGTTCCACAAGTTAAAATATGTTAGACCGACTCTCAAAAAGACCACCCAATCTAGACCACTGAACTAGCCTGGACAAACGAACCTGGGTGAGTGACCCAACCTAAAGATCGACTCAGTCAGTTTAATCGACTAAGCTCAGCCAACTAAGATTATCCCGCCAACCCGATGTAAAAAAAGTTTAGTCGGCTAAAACGATAAACATATACATTTAAATACTAAAAACACTCTAGTGCGGACATCTTTAAAATAAAAATATAAGTGTAATATCATCAATGTATTCTCTATTCTAAAAATATAAAAGTATATTATAATAAGATATGATTAGTTAATGCTCTCTCTCTCCCCCTACTTATGTTCTATTTCTTGGGTGCGATTCACAAACATATCATGATTTAACACAACAAAAAATAAAAATCTTAAAAAATAAATCCTTAACTTAGCAAGTTTACCTCTCAAGAATGAGGCTGGTTCTGCTTCCACTTGTATAAAGCAATGATTGGATGGAACTATAATATATAAATAAAATTTTAAATAGATAGGATGACATATTAATAAATATGAAAACTTGTAGTGATATAATTATAAAAAACCACTAAAAATAGAAGTTAATATTATAAATTCATCCAAGAGTTTAATTAAAAAGAAGCTAAATCATATCTTAAATCATTATGATCGAGGAAATATATCCTTGGCTGTAATTTTGACAGTATTTATATTTTATATGCAAAACGATTGAAATTTTATTGTGGGTCTTGATGTTTTGAATCCAATTTTGTCTTTCAGATCATGCTTAAAGAATAGAGTGTAAGAAACTGAGAGAAGTAAAAAGAGAGAGAGAAAGAAAGAGGAGGAAAAAAAAAGGAAGTCTTGCTCTCTAGAGGTGAATAGGGGTGTTCCCTGGCTCATGGACCCATTTCAGTCCATTAAAAATAAATGTTAGAAGTAGGGGGAGCCCAAAAAAACCTATTTACATGAAATAACACTTCTATTTATAGATGATAGGAGGGACAAAAAAGAAAATTACAGTAGTAATCTTTATTTTGAAATGATAGTACAAGATATTATAGTACAGGGTTGCCAATTTAGGTTGCCTCGATATTCATGCAGAATATTTTTGAATATAAGCTTTAATAAATACCGCAAAAGATTAAAAGTCCAAATAATATGAATTACAAACAATATATTTACAAAAGTTGAAAATATATAGCAAAATTTAATAGATTATAATCATATCCTCATAAGTTAATTAAATTATTTTGAAAAAAAACTTGAAATATTTGTTAGATCCGCATTTTAAATAAAAACCACCCTAGACATCTGGAAATTGTCATTAGCTGCTGCCATCGCTAGCTTTCTTTACCTTATAAGTTATGCAATAAAAGCAAAAATATAAAAACACTTATTTATTATGCCAAATGTATTTTTATTTTATATTAAATACAAACAAAATAAAACAAAAAATATATAAATAAAAATAATTATCAGATAGTAATCACAAACGACCCCCTAAATTTTTTTTTTTATAAGAATAAACCTGCCCAATTTTCATTAATTTTGCGTTTTTAGCTCCTGCACTGCATTGTTGTTCAATAAGGAAAAAATTATTGCATACATATACCGCATGCAGAGATACATGCGATGTCTGATCTTGAGCGTAGATCACCGTGATCTACGGTCAGGATCAAACACCACATAATTTTTCTCAATAAAGAGCATGCTAAATGTTAGGAGCAATTTTTCGAAAGATTCATTTTTCTTTTTTTTACATAGTTTCACATTTCAATATTACAATAGTTATTAAATTAATTCTAATCATTTTTAACAGGCAAATAATTGCTTATTGCAGAATCTAATAGTGACAGCTGAAAACTATTGTCTCACTTTCTTAAGGAAAAAAATCTGCAACACTAACTGTTCAAAAAATACTTTTTCTAGAACAATTTTGAGGTAATTTATATACATAGTTATAAAAAACCCCAACCGATCCCAGCGACGGACACAGCAAAATTTGCTCTTCTTTTTGTGGAAATTCTGAACTAATTTAATTACAACTTAAGGAATAAACTCATTTATATTAGGCGTCAATGCATGGCCTTAAAGTGAGAGCCCAAAATCACAAAAAATGTGTCGGCAGGAAATAATTAGTGATGCATTGATGCTTGTCAAAATAGTGGATGTCAATTAAATCAATATTTATAAGAAAAAGATTCATAGATCTATTGGATCTATGATGAATAGGGGTGTAAATAAGTTGAACGTGATACGGTAAAAAATATTATTGTTCGTGTTCGGGTTGTTTAGATTTCGAACACAAAAAAATTATTCGTGTTCAGCTTAATATGCTTAGCGAGCCAAACACGAACTATTTGCGAATAAAGAGCTGTTTTGACAGTCCTAATTAGTTAGCCGTAGGATGTTAAGCAAATTATCATTTAGGAAAATATCATTTAGTTATAATTTAATAAATTTTTTATTCTATTTTTTAATTAATAATTTTAATTTATTATAAATCTTTGCAGCTTTGTAGTCAATTATATTATTTAAAAATACTGCTCATCAATTTTATATATATATATATATATATCAATTAAAAATACAATAATTATTTCAAGCCAAAACGAGCGGAACAAGAACACACAAATCTTTGTTCGTGTTCGGCTCGTTTATATATATATATATCAATTAAAAATACAATAATTATTTCAAGCCATAACGAGCGGAACAAGGACACAAATCTTTGTTCGTGTTCGGCTCGTTTATATATCGAACGAAAAAAAAAATTGTGTTTTGCTTGTTTGCTTAACAAATGAATCGAATACGAGCTGTTTGCAAACAACGAGCCGTTTTGACATCCCTGTATACAAAAATCCAATCAGCCCTTTTGAAAATTTGACCCTCAAAGCTCTCAATAAAAAAAAAAAGGACTCCCGAGATATCAAATTTTTGGAGTCCACACAAGCTCGGTCTCTATAACATCTACTACCTTGCTTGACGAGGAATTTGAAAATCTGAGAAGATTTGGTTCTTTTCATGTTTACCTCTTATATGGGCCCGACCACCACCTCCAAATCTTGGAGGATTTGATTGGGATATCTTAGGAAACCTTTGATTAGTTTATTCTTTTCTTATTTTATGTCTTTCTATTTTTTATTCAAAATTATTTTCCTTCCTAATCTAGGTGAGATATGTTTGGTAAGGTTGGAAACAAGGAGGGATTGATTTCCCTATATATATATACCTATATATAATCCAATTTAAGAGGTGCCCGTCTGCACTGTAGAACGCTAAAATAATGTGAAAATTAAATGGAGAAGTTGGCACATTAACTTTCCAATAATAATAACAATAATAAGCTTTAGATAGAACTTAAACGACATAAAATATTAGTGCACACCAAATACATGAAGTGATCCATAGAAGAGCGAGCACTCCCCTGAGACTACGTAGCCCTCAAGGATGCATCAATTAATTAATTTTTCTCTTATATAGAAAAAATTATTACGAACTCCGAAGTCCAGTAGAAGTGTGCCACGTGACAAGTGGGTCCACCCCTTTACAAAACCTACAACCAGTGTATTACAGTGAGACACACTTATTATGTGATAAGTGCCCATTGGATTACAGACACAAATTGTGTCCTGATGCAATAATCGCTTCTTATATAGACTCTTAAGAATTAAAAAATACTAAGGAGACAGGGCAGAACGCTATGTCATATAACGAGAAGAAGCCATAAACAAATTTCACAATTTAATATGATCCACTAAAGTGGAATACAAACAAAGTTCAAGATTGCATATAAGCCAGTATTCCGTATTACCAAACAAATGCACTTCTCTTAATATATACAAATTCTCTGTGCATTTTATGGCGATATTCACCTTCACATAACCAAACAAGACGAGGAAAAAAAATGGATAAATGAATGAAAAGGCAAATGCTAGCATAGGAACATTCACCATAAAGTGAATAATTTTTCACTTACAATTTTTTTTTACAACATTTCCTTGATTTTGGATTATTCAAAATAAAATTCTAAAAGAATTGGCAGCTTTATCATAAGATTGACCTTTTCTCATCACTTGCCCAGAAACTTCTGAAGAAAATCAAATGTCACGAAAGACAATTGGTCCCTCTTCCACCTGGGGAAAGTAGTCTTTTTTCATCATAATCATCAGCTTCATTTTCCTCCTCGTCATAAGCCACAGCAATCACAAGCTGCTCTTTTTGAAATGGCTCTGATTCAATTTGATCTTGAGATTGTTTCAGCTCTAATATCTGCATTTCGGATTCAAGCAAGGAATGCATTCTAGCCCTCTCTCGGTCACTCGGGTAGGTGCGGTAAAGGAAGGAGTAAATTATACAACAGAAAAACATTGGAATTGCTATTGCAGTGTAGAGTGCCTTAGCCAAGGAGGCGGCATTCTCTCTATCAATTTCAATGCTTTTATCTTTGTTAGATCTGGATGGATTTGGTTTGTAGCCGTAAAAAACCTCGGCCAACAGCCCGACAACAGGAGGAGCGGACGATGCTAAAATTGTTTCGAAGCATCTATCCAGTGCATAGATGCTTGTCCGTGACTTTTCAGGGACTATCTCTGCAAATATAGGGCTGCAAATGCAAAGAAGAAAACAAATTTGATGATTGTAAGCAATGAAAGAGATTGAGGTTCAAGAGAGTCTTATTAATAATAGCTCAGGAACTTCATATGCTTGTCTCAAGTTTACAGAAAATCGTAGTGCGATGAAACAAAGTGATGCTAAAGAGAAGCTGGTATTAATCCTCTCTAGTAAAGGAAAGGTCCAGCTTTCTCAACATCACCAGCGGCTAGAGAGAGAGAGAGAGAGAGAGCACAGGAAAATAGCCTGCATGAGGTAACCGCCCAAGTAAAAAAGAAAAGGTAGGGTATAGCATACAGTTATATGATACACTTTTATCAGTTTTAACTAAAGTATGCATTCTAAACGAGTAGCTAAATCCAAGGGATTGAGAAAACCAGACAATTTTCTTCTCTGTTAGTTCCAGCTTGCTACCTATGATGGACTATCGTAGTATGCAGCATCAGATATGTGCAGGATACGACATGTGTTCAACATGTATCACTAGTGTCGAACGCGTTGTGGGCGTGTAGGATTAAAATAATAATAAATAAATGAATGGCACATGTAGCAGACATGTTCTGTGAAGTAGTTAACATAGCGATGATCGAATGGTGAAACCATAGAATGGAAAAAACAAGTGGGTGACTTTAATTTTCAAGAGAAAAATTTACATACATATCACATAATTCTTATGCATTTACATATCTAACACCTAAACTTTCATATCTATATATATAACATTTTGGTGTTCTATATTTATGAATGTAAAAGTGTATTTCACTTTTAAAAATTAATAGTGGTATTTTTGTTATGATATTATAGATAAGCGATATGTATGTAAATATGCAATTTTAGGGGCTTGATGTAAATACATAAGAAATTGCGTGGTATGTATGTAAATGCCCTTTTTAAAAAAGATAACTAAAATGTATCTTTAACAAAAAATTTGCTTAGATTGCATTTTTTTTTTTTTAACAAAATCTATTTATTTTATTTCTTTTGTAGAAGAACTAAATGTAAGAATTGGATTATATGCATGTCATGTTTATTACACGTGCGCACACACACAAAGAGATATATACATCTACACACACACACATATATCTACATATATCTATACATACACATGCATATCTACATATATCTATACATACATACATATGTATATCTACACACACACACACACACACACATATATATCTTGTAGCTATGTCGGCTCATCACATTTTACTATAAATTGCAGAAAATTGATGATTATTATGTCCATGCAATAAATATAAAAATATACAGTTCCATGAATAGATAAGGATTAACTTCAATTACTATGGGGATGCAAATTGATATTTGAGTTTTTTATTTGATTTTAGTTTTTAGTTTATATATATATATTTTTTACCTAATTTATTTTTCTTTAAATATGCCTATATATGATAAGGGTCCTTACAGAGGATAGATTTTGTTAAATATTACTTGTTTGGATTTAGTTGGGTGTATTTATGATTTGGTCTTTGAATCACGCCCAAGGAATAGAACTAGTTCAGGAGGTAAGAGTGAATGGTAGAGAAGAGAGAAAGGGATAGAGAGAGTGTGCGGAGAAATAGTTGTATTAACTCTTCTAATAGTTGTCCCTCAGTTAAGGGAGAAATCCATCTTTTACATTCACTCTTCATTCTTTATATAGGACATTTTCTTATAAAGCATAAATACGTGATGATAAAATTTAGATTTATGGAGATTTTAGTTATTTTATTTTGACTTATAGTGGTGTGGATATGCAAATATGTTATCTCTAGCATGTTTTCCTTTATTGACGCCATATTTTATATTCTACTATTTGTGCTTGTTGGAACGTTTTCAAGTCATTCGAGAAGGAGACCTACACGAGCAATTATATGGTTTGACTCAAGAGGGGACGGATAAAGAGTACTGAGGGAAGTTTGAGCTTTTGTCAGGGAGGTTGAGCGGGATTTGTGCAGCAGATTTGGAAGGGAACTTCTTGAAAGGCTTGAAGCCCGACATACGAGTGGCCATCCACCCCTTGATTGTGTTGATTTAGGGAAATGATGGAGCTCGCCTAGATGATGGAGAATAAGAAACTGGTGAAGAAGACCGACAACGACGGCAACACCGAAGGATTCTACAAGAGCACCGCGACAACCACGACACCGAAAACCCATATGGTATCATTTCAAAAAGAGACGCTGAAGGAGAAGAGTATCAGACTCTGCCCCGAGGGTAATTTCAAGCAACTTACAAATGCAAAAGTGCAGAACAAAAGAGAAATACGCCCAAGAACATCGTTGTAAGGAGCGCGCCCTTCGGGTTCTTTTAGTTCAAGAGAAGGATACAAAAAGCGAGGACTCAGAAGAGGAAGTAGTGGAGGAGGAGCATCTGCATTTGGATGTGGCGGAGGTGTTCCTTAATTTAGTGGTGGGATTTATCCAAAACCACACCATGAAGGTAGGGTTGTGGTGTTGGTGGATTGCGGGGCCACACATAACTTTACTTCAAATCAGGTTGTGGGGAAGATAGGGTTAAAGCTGGTGACAACATGGAGCTTTGGCATTGTGATAGGGATGGGGAATGTAGAGAAAAGTAAGAGAATTTGCAAGGGACTGGTTCTAACACTACATGGCCTACAGGTGGTGGAAGACTTCATTTAAATTTGGGTAGCATAGATGTGATTTTGGGGATGAAGTGGATGCAAAAATTGGGAGAGATGAAGGTGTATTGGAAGTCCTTGACGATGGAGTTCCCAAGTAAAGGGTAGGAAGGTGGTGCTGAGAGGAGATGCTAGCATATGTAAAGCCATGGTATTAGTCAAACCTATGGTCAGGTCGATTCAGGGAGCAGGACCGAGTTACTTGGTGGAGTTGCAGAGCATTGAGGAGGTTCGAGATTCAGAGTTGGCAGAGTTTCCGGAAGGAGTCCAGCTGCTCCTACAACAGTTTAGTGATGTTTTTGGCATCCAAGCTAGTTACCCCCTTGGAGGGAGCGCGAGCGCGCTATTACATTGAAGAAGTGTTTCTCCTATCAATGTCAAACCCTACATGTGCCCCCAGAATTAGAATGATGAGATGCAGAAGCTGACTCGAGAGATGCTCGAGGCTGAGATTATGACACCAAGTGTGAGCCCTTTTTCTAATCATGTCCTGTTGGTGAAGAAAAATGATGGTAGTTGGAGATTTTGTGTAGACTACCGAGCTTTGAACAAGAAAACGGTATTAGACAAGTTTCTCATTCCCATGATTGATGAGTTACCGGATGAACTTTATGAGAGTTATTTTTTCAAAAATTGATTTGAAGACAGGGTACCATTAGATAATGATGAATTCGGTGGATGTGCACAAGATAACATTCATGACACATAAAGGACATTATAAGTTCTTAGTGATGTCGTTTGACCTCACTAACACCCCGACAACATTTCAATTTCCTCATGAATAGGGTTTTTCAAACTTATCTTCGAAAATTTGTTCTGAATTTCCTTGATCATATTCTGATCTATAATCGTATTGAGATAAAGCACGTGGGACACCAGAGAAAAGTTTTGAAGACATTTAGAGAACACCAGTTGTATGTCAACTTGAAGAAATGTTCTTTTGCACAGTTGCAGGTGGAGTATCTAGGAAATGTGATGACCAAAACAAGTGTATCAGTGGATCAGTCCAAGATTGAGGCTATAGTTGATTTGAAGGAGCTCAGATGATTCCTGGGTCTCACCGGCTACTACAGAAAGTTCGTGAGAGGATATGTCACGATAGTATGACCACTGACAGAGCAGTTGAAGAAAAATAACTTCAAACGGGGTAAAGCAACAACACAGACCTTTAAACAATTAAAGAGGATTATGACTAGCGTACCGGTATTAGCATTTTCAGATTTCAGTAAATCACTTATGGGGGACACGGATGTATCAAGGTACAGATTGGAAGCAGTGCTCGTGCAGGATCAGCGGCCGATTTCCTACTTTAGCCAAGTTCTTACGGCCAGAGTGAGGCTAAGGTCAATATATGAGCGTAAATTGATGACAATTGTCTTGGTCATTCAGAAGTAGCAGCTTTATCTGTTGGGATGACATTTCTTGGTTAGGACATATCAGATGAGTTTAACTTATCTTATGGAGCAACGGATGGTGACTGAAGAGCATCAAAGATGGCTATCCAAGCTACTGGGGTATGATTTTGAGATTCAGTACCGACCAGGATTGGAGAACAAAATAGCTGACGTGTTGCCGAGAAAGGTGGAGGAACTCCAATTAACGGCCCTATTGGTACCCCTGGTCTGAGATTGGGAGGCCTTAAGGCAGGAGAGCGAAAAGAAAGAGGAACTGAGGAAAATAAGGACTGAATTACTGCAGGATCTGAATAGTCATTCGAGATATGCATTGAGGGAACAACAGTTGTTTTGTGAGGAGCAATTCATGCGACCCAAGTCATCGGAGTATATTCCCAGATTATTATAAGAGTTTCATGGTAGTGTGATCAGGGGTCAATCAGGGGTGTAGAAGTCCTACAGTTGTCTGGTAGCAGAGCTTTACTGGGTGGGGATATGCAGAGACGTGGGGGACTTGGTGGCATAATGTGATGTGTGACAGCGCCACAATTACTTGATGACAACAACAGGGGGGTTACTAGAACCATTAGCATTACTGGAAAATGTTTGGGAAGAAGTGACAGTGGATTTTATCGAGGGGTTGCCGCAGTTAGAATGGTTCACAATGATTATGGTGGTTGTAGATTGCTTAAGTATGCATATTTATTCCCTTATGAAATCCTTACACGGAGGCCTTAGTTGCAATAGTGTTTATTCGGGAAGTAGTCTGTTTGCAAGGGGTGTCGGAATCAATTGTATCAGATAGAGACAAGGGGTTCCTCGGCCACTTCAAGAAAGAGCTATTTAGGTTGCAAGGGGACATACCTTAAAAGAAACACCGCATATCATCCCCAGACCGATGGGCAAACGGACGTGGTCAACAAGGGTGTGGAGATATACCTTCATTGTTTTGTATCTGATACACTCAAGTAATGGGCTAAGTGGATTGCATGGGCAAAGTATTGGTATAATACTTTGTACCACACCGCCGCACAGACAACCCCTTTCAAGATATTGTATGGGCGGGATCTAGCTCACTTGATACATTATGGGCATAACACTACACCAGTATCCAACGTTGATCGGTACTTGGAGGAGAGAGACAAGGGGAATCTTCTGAGGAGTCAACAAATCATGAAGAAGAAAGCGGATGGATATAAGAGGGGTGCAATTTGAACCGGGAGACATGGTCTACTTGAAGTTGAGACCCTATCGACAGAAGACATTGGCCAGGATGAAAAGCTAGAAACTTTCATCGAGATACTGTGGGTCTTATGAGGTGATGAAACGCATCAGAACAGTGGCCTACCGTTTAAAAATACCACCATGATCCGCGCTACACCCGGTCTTCCATGTATCCCAGCTGAGACGAGCGATTGGAGATCACACACCCTCATCTACACTACCGCCGACGCTGACAGAAAACTTGTAGGTGATTCTGGAATCATTAGTCGAAGGAGTGCGTCGAGGAGTAAGGGGATTGAAGGAGGTATTCGTTAAGTGGAAAAAGACTTCCATACTATGAAGTGACATTGAGGCCTTAAGAGGTGATCCACAAGCAGTTTTCCTCTTTCCACCATGAGGACAAAGTACTTTTTTGGGAGGCGAGTAATATAGGCGGGAGCTGGTCCAAGAAGGACCGACCGATTGCAATCCTGCAGGCCCATAGGCGGGCCGACTTGTGTCACGAGAAGAAGGGGAGGGATCCGAGCATGGTGAAAGGGAAGGAAAGGAGGGGGTGGGGTCAACTCAAGCCATAATCACATATTCAAGGAGGAGAAATTGAGGGGAGTTTGAAGGAGAGTTTATAAAGAAAATTTTCAAATGCTATCTGAGGATTCTATTAAAAGGAGAAAACTAGGATTTGTTCTTTTTTATGCATTAGTTTTGTGTTTGTTGTCTTCTCTTATTTTGGTGTTGTTCCTAGCGACGTCTAGGGTGTGGGAGAACTGATCAACCTCTCAAAAGTAAATCATCTTTTGTAATTTGCTTGTATTTCCTTTAATTGTTGTAAGAGCAGCCCTTATTTGTGTCATTCCATCCATCTATTGTGATTTTTAAGTGGTTTGTTCGCTGATTTTGATGTCGAGGCGTATCAAAATATTGAAAGCTCCTTGGTTCACATGCTTTATTCTTTTGGTTCGTATGCATAAAGATGGACACCCTTAGTTTTCGTGATTTTTAATCTTCAATTTATATCCCCTCTCCGTTAATAAGGTTCTTGTAGGATTTGGTGTCTGAGACATACCCTGTATGCTAAGGTTTCATAGTGCATGTAGTAAAAGAGATGTCCCATGAAATAATCTCTTGAAAGTATTTAATGGCTAGAAAGAGGGAAGGAATATTCGGTTTCTTCAAAAAATTCAGGAGGGCTATGACATTTTCTTAAATTTTGTATAAAATGTTTGTAAAAGTTTGCATTTCATATGAAAATATTACACTTTGATGAAGGGTTTTGTGTTGTTTTGGGGGTTGCAGTGAAAACATGATCGAACAGAACTCAAAAAGATCAAAATAGAGAAAATTGTGGTTTGGTGCCTAGGCGTCGGGCTAGTGGCGCATAGGCGCCAGTCTCTGTCCAAGAAAACAAAATTCAGAGAGCATGGAAAGGCGGCGCCAGACTAGGAGAGCTTATGCGTCAAGCATGCAGTGCCCAATAATGGATCAGTGGCACTTAGGTCCCCAAACAGGCCAGAACTTGTCCAGACTCCTAAAAGAGAAGAAAGTAGGTGATGCCTATGCAGCACCAAGGCGCTACACACTGGCTTGTAGGTGACGCGATAGTGATGCCTTGACACCAGAACCATAGTGAAAATCATCCAAGTGAGTGGTACTTAGGCGCCATAAGTGAAATTTGACAGTTGATTAATTTTGTTCGGAAGAAGTATAAAACTTTTGAAGATGATATAAAGGGGGTTTTTTACTATTTTTATGTCATTCTTGAGAGATGAATAGAAGGAGAAGTCAAAAAAAGCTTTTTAAGGAGTTTGCATGTGAAGAAGGGAGAGATTTAGGAAGATCAAAAGGTCTATTCAATACTTTAGGAAATTAAACTCTTGATAGTCAATTTTTCTTAGACCACTGGAAGGGGATAAGGGATAGACCAACTTCTATTTGACAATAATTTTTAATCACTAGTTCAATTATATTCTCCACTTGATCAATTTAAGGGGGAAATTTCTTGAAACTTGAATTTTTTTTAAACTTCTTTTGGCTTGGTTGGATAGAACAACTTTTTAAATTTAGGATAGTTAATCTTAGAACTTGAATTTCTTTTAAACTTCTTTTGGCTTGGTTGGATAGGACTACTTTTTAAATTTAGGATAGTTAATTTTAGAATTTGCAAATCAAACCCTTCAGGTTTGAACTGATGGTAGTAGTAGGCTACAATTTTTCCAATTAAAATTCATCTCGTTCACTGTAGAGTTGACATCCGGACTCCAACCCGGCACTACTGATACACCACGTATATTTGCGTGAGTCGCCCGTGCTTCACAGCACTTGGTGCGTATCAAAGTCATCATCTTATTGTGAGGTAGAAATATTTGTGAAGCTTTCTTTCGAGCTTCTTTGTTGAGCAAAGATATACTAAGATAAGGAAAAGGCTAGGTGAGTGTCTTGGATTGTATGTTGTTTTGGGCTTACTAAAAAGTAAATCAGATCCTCCTCTCTTGTAGACCAAAATTTCGTTCGAACCATGTAAATCTTAGCGACTTTATTTCTATTTTGTTTAGATATTTATTGTATCATATTTTATTCATAAAGAAGCTTCAACTTTAAATTTAGGTGTTTCGTAACAACGAAACAACTAACTCATGTGAGCCAAAAAGTTAAATTTTATTAGCTTCTAAAGTTAGTTTAGCTTAATTTTCTTTTAATAAATCCTAAGTATATAGGACTTCTACTTTTTTTTATTTTCATAATTTAAAGGTTTCTTTAGAACCATACAAATATAAATCCTATAAAACCCAAAACCATAAACCTTGAGTTCAACCCTAAACTCTTAAATAGTTAAATCTTTGTCTAAGTTCATACACACTACACCTCTAAGCATTGACCATTTTTTAGAATCTGGTTAGTTTGTTGAGTATCACTTGCAAATGACATCTTAGCTAACTTATATCTACCTCTCACCATATTAAGGCTAAATTGTGACATCCAAGCATACTCCAATTGGTGGGGCCATGGAAGGCACGTGATTCTTCTCTAGCCACTAGTAAATATCAAATTAGAATTTATTTCAATGATATTTCGCCAGGGAAATGATTGACTACATATCAATCTCAAATTTTCACCAGAGGAGCCAAAGGGAAAAAAACAGCTTTAGTAAGGAACAACTAAATCTAAGTGCTTCTTCTCAGATTAAGATATTAACAAAAAATAAGGAACAGAAGGGCCTTCGTAAAGCATTTGTTTGTAATAATGGTTGCCTTGAGCCGTCCCAATATATTTATTTAGTAAGAAATTCAAAGTTAGCATTTATCTCATGAATCCTCAACTGCTGCAATTTTATTTCAATAGAACGAAATGGTCATTATAGATGCAAAATCTATGAAACATAACATACTTGTTCGTAGCAGCAGCATTCCACGACATGCTCAATCCCATTGTGAAAAGGACGATAGCATGTGCCACTCCTGAGGAAGGGTCGTAAGGCAATCCCAGCAACAACAAAGCTCCAAGCGGAATAGCTGAACCAGAGCTTATCTGTGACAAGACTATCCTTCCAGAGTTGGGTAAGCGAATTGCAAGAAAATCCCCCAGGTTCCCTCCAATTAATCCTCCAAGTGAGTTTGAAAAGACGAACATACCCATAAGAATTGCAGTCACGCCATGAGAAAAACCAATAAGCTCCAGCCACATTGGTGCAAATGCCAAGGCAGACCATGGGAAGTTTCCAGTGATTCCCTGAGCTACAATGATCTGAAACGATGGAATTTTAACGACATATTTCACTTCCTTAAATAAATTTTTCACTTCAGCAGCTATAGAATGGGATGAGCGAGGAAGATCAGGTGGTCTTGCACTGTTAGAAAAATGGGGATCAACAGCGAAAAGATAGACTAGTATTCCAACAATTACACTTATGATTCCAACAAGATGAAAAGAAATTCTCCAGCCATCAATTCCCATGAATTTAGTTGATGCTAGTAGGAGTGAAATGAAACCTCCAAGTATAGAACCTATATTAGAAGTTAATTGCAACCAGCCAAAAGCTGAACATTGTCATCAGTGGAGTCTGCAACAAGAGACTGAATTGCTGGTGTCACCAAAGCTAGCCCAATGCCATTCAAGGCTCTTGAGAATGCAATCTAGAAATAAAACTTGCTGTGAAGACAATATGCAAGCCATAGTGAACTAAATGCATGAATCAAACCATAATCTTTGGAATGCAGAAAAATCATAAAGAAGATTAACTAATAAAATAAGATTTTCATGGAAATGCCCCCCAAAAGGGTATCTGTGGCATGTCTTTGGAATTTTCATAATATTTTTAAAACCATAATCCTTGCAACACATCAAGATGGTACTCCATGGTCAAAGAAAAAAATTAAAATTCTCTTTTTCTCTCCCTCGTCTTTTTCTAATTAATATTGTTGTCTTTATTTCATTTGCTTGCCTTACAAAATCCTTGTCGCTAGCAAATTCTCTTGCACGTCGAATGTATTCATCATCACAAAGCCATTGATAAGAGCTAAGAGCACTCACCCTAATAATAAGTCTCACACTTCGCTCTCCTATTTAATGAATTAAAAAAATTTATTTCAAATCAAAATCATATTTCAATTTTTAATAGCAAATTTTGTATCAAACTTCCAAAAAACAAAATATAAATTGTAATTATCCATAAATTTTGTATCTATACAAAAATAGCAAATTTTGTATCAAACTTTCAAAAAACAAAATATAAATTGTAATTATCCATAAATTGATTATTTGAAATATTTTGTTTATCCTAATAAAATTACCAAGTTAAAATAAAAAAAAAATCTCTCTACTGACTCAATAAGTTGGCAATAATCTGGATCTTCTATATGACACCTCTCCAAACCAAGCTCTTCAGGCTCACAAAACTCTAAAAAGCCATATATTACACGACTTCAATAAGCCTACATGACGCCTAAACTTAACACTAGCAAGCAACTTTTGAAACAATTTAGCTATGTACCGAAGTGGACACATGGACAGTGAAAGTATATTGTTCATTGAATATTTGTACCCCAAATTAGTTGTCTAACACTTTGAATGATGAAATAATATAACGTGACAATATCATATAGATTCTACAATATAAGTTGATCCACTTGATCATCTATAATCACCCACACCTCCCACCCACCCCCACCCCGCTCCTCTAAATTTGTGTTGTATTATGCTCCTCAACATGACCTACCATGAAAAGGCTAGCATTCATCTCCTTCCTCAAATCATAATGCTCTAACACAGATTATAATGCAATACAAGTAAATTCACTCAATGTTTTCACTAACCCCTTTTATTTCCATGACAAACAACAGCAGGCTTGCAAAGTTTAAGAACATCAAAAACTCCTAAACATTAGGAATCTGGTTGAGATGAAGAACTTAAACATGTCAAACTCCAATCAAATTGCGCATTATACATCTTCAACTTCACCGTGCCAAAACTACCTGCCTCTCATGTAAAGAGAAATTACAAATCTCTCGAGCAACAAAAAGAAAGAAAACACACACACACACACACACACACACACACACAAAAGAAAGGATTAAAACCAAACAATTTTCACGTGATGCTCGCCAAAGAATATCTTCTTGCATGTCTATAAAATTGTCAGAATACTTCTAGCACCATAGTGCTTCAAACACGTCAAGGTGGACACCATTCAGAAAAACACTACTTTTGTCTTATTTTTATCTTTTTCCCCAGCATTTTTTTAAATTCTCTCTTTCTATCTAATTCAGATACCGACCACAATTAATGGAAGCCAAATGCACTGGCTTACAAACTGTGCACCGGCCAAAAGCACTCGCCTAATAATAGGTCCAGCCCTTTATTTTCATATTTATAGGAGTTAAAGGAGCTCATTAAAATCAGCAACCGCCCAAAAAAATGATAAAAGAAAAGAAAAAATGTGCTTATCATAAAATTGTCTATTTTAAAGCATGTGTTTATCCAAACTGAAGTACTGTTAAAATCTTAACGGCATCGAGTCTTCTTGCACAAGGCCAAACCCTGATTTATCCGTGCTGGAAAAAGGCAAACAAAGAAAGGGGAAAAAATGTATAATGCAAACCACAAAACCAATTCAAGTTACAATTAATCCATGAGAATCAGATCCTGTTCCTACGACTCTTAAACAAACTATATCCAAATCCATTCACCACACTATTCTTCTAATCTAATGCCCCGAATCATGCTCGCAAGAACATGAAGAAAATCAACTCAAAATCAATCTAAATAACTAAATCCAAAGATGAATCACATTCTATCACTAAACTAAGAAAACGAATGCAAGCAAAAAACTTTGGCATTGAAAAAACCTCTTCAATGCCGCAAATGTTAACTATATAAGAATTGTGCAGTATGTGTGTAAATTTCCATTCACTTACGATGCCCCCTTTGAAGAAGAACCGCAATGGGCATAATCAAACCCTAAAAGCAAACTAAAACCCGTTATAATGCCTCAAAACCAAATCTATTCCCCGCTATCTTCATAACTCAATATATCGAACAGTTAATTCATGAAACCGAACAAATTTAGATCCATAGAAGATGAAATCAATACCTCCGTATAAGTGGAGGAAAATGCCACAAGGAATGTGGCCGCCGCCCAGAGGAACGCGCCAATGGCGATCACATGTGTCCTGTTGTGCCTCACAGCCATATACATAGCAAGCGGATAGCAGGCTGACTGCACAAAAGATCGCAAAAGCGTGAGAACACCAAGTCCCGAAGGCGTCAAGTCAAGCGCCTCCCCGACCTCCTTGTACACGGCCGGAAGCAGAGCCTCGTCGGCGCGTTCCATGATTCCAGCCAGATTCACTAGCACGAGCGTGCACCTCTCCGCAACCATCGTTGACACAACCCTCTTCGCCGACGAGAACGACGACGACGATAGCTGCCACCGCGCTGTTATGGAGAAGAACAGAAGGAAGAAGACCAATTCCAAAAAGAGAAAAAAAAAAGGGGGGCAGTTCCTCAAGTTTCAATATTTTCTACTTGTAGTCTAGCACTCATCATAAAAAATTTAAATTTAAAATAAATTACAAATTCATTGAAGTTTTTTGAAAGTAATAAAATATTAAAATTATTGATTTATTATATATTATTTATATTTTAAATTAAATTTAATAATTTTAAAATTTATAGTTTTATTTTATAGAATATTTATGTTTTGTAAAAATATTTTAAATAAAATATTTTTATTCATTGATTATATCATATATCATTGAATAATATCACTCAAGTGATTAGCAAACGTCTAGTAAATATGCATTAAAATGAGTAGTAATTTAAAATCATTAAAATATTAAAAGCACATTATATAATATGCCTGAATGCATAAAATTTAGAAATATGAAATAAATCAGTTTGCTTTTTGTTTTTATAAAATGCGGTTGGGAATGTTAAATATGTATTTATAAAACTCTTATTAGTGCAAATGTTTTTAATTACAAAAAAAACTACATTATGTGAATTTCTTCATATCCATTCAAAAAATACCTTGTTATGCATTTTATAGGCATTTTAAATTTTATTATTCAGAGTTTTCTAGTATAGAGGCATATGATGAATAAAAGTGTTATGAAGTGGCACCCCAAAATAAGATTATGTTGAACTTTTTGATATTTTAGATGGTTACTATGAGTTAAAATTGGAAGAACTCATGAGAAGTGATAGATGTCATACCCAGGGCCTAGAAGACGGTACACACCTGCAACGCAGGACATGAGGAAATGGTTTGAACCTGTTTTATATTTTTTAAAGAATGATTTGCATTGCAAATAAAATAGAAAATTCCACCGCTACTTTCCCTTCTTGCTCCAAAGTGAATGTATCGTACAGGTTCAATCAAAGGCAAAGGTTTAGAGCGAAACATGGAGAGACGAAAGAGGGAGATCGGGAGGAGGAGAATCGAGAGAGAGAGAGAGAACGAGATGGATCGTCTGTAGCCTTATCGAGAGAGAGAGAGAGAACGAGATGGATCGTCTGTAGCCTTACCTCTACTCTTATAGATTGTTGATGCTCGTCAAAACTGGAAGACAATAAGAAGTGGCGACAAGAAGAGGCAACAAGGAGAAAAGAAAAGTTACGATTCGGGAAATCCACAACAATAAAAGAAAAGATCACAAAAAGAGGAAAAAGGAAAAGAAGAAAAAATATCGTAAAGGAAAAAAAAAACGTTAAGAAAAGAATTTGCTTCTTACATACTGCCCTTCTTAAAAGAATTTGGTCCCCAAATTCATACCTCAATTATGGAACAAATACGGGTACTTCACGATCATCTCTTTTTCAATTTCCTAGGTTGCTTCACATTCTTACTGGTTCTTCGAAAGCACTCTAACAAAAGATATCTTATATGTTATTCTAAGTATTTTAGCCTTGTGGGCTAATAACCATATTGTTCATTGGCTCGACCTGCTCGGATGACTAGACTGAGTAAAGCTTCGACGATCATGACGGTCTACTATGCTTGTCTTTGTTGTCAGGCGTAATGTTGTTGGTTGGGTTGGTGATTGTGGGTCAGCAAGACTGATCAGATCAGATGTGTTCAATCGATCGATGATAATAATCTAGTAAACTCTCGATCTCCACCAACAAGTTTTTATCGATAGGGTAGACCTAGACTATCGGGCAGAGAGTAAATCACAGAAATCCAACAAGCAACCTTATCTTAGACAAGAGATTCCTGGTGTTATGACCGAGCATTGCATTCTTTTGGTGGCTTTTTAGGTAGACGACTATGTGATCGCGGTATAACGGTAAAGGGGGCTAACATTTCCTTAGGCCTGATTTTGTTGCAGCGGCGGGCCTCGAAGATTCGTT